TACTGCTATAAGACTTCTTTTATGTTTTTCCCTTTGAATGCTTGTTTGGTACAATGGATCTCTTATTTAAAGATAAAAACTGAGTCTGAGTCTTTCAAGATACCAAAATCTAATAAATCAATTGAATAAAAAAAAAAAAAAAGCATCCTTGAGCTGGGTATGGCAATGTCTTTAATTCCAGCACTAGGGAGGCAGAGTCAGGCAGATCTCTGAGTTTGAGGCCAGCCTGGACTACATAGTGAGTTCTAGGACAGCCAAGAATACATAAAGAACTCCTGTCTTGGAAAAGGGGGGGCATTATAAATCTAGTATTTCAATAAAAATACCAATTAAAATGCAATTTTAACTGGGTGGTGGTAATGCATGCCCTTAATCCCAGCACTTGGGAGGCAGAGGCAAGCAGATATCTGTGAGTTCAAGACCAGCCTTGTCTACAGAGTGAGTTCCAGGACAGACGCCAGGGCTACACAGAGAAACCCTGTCTCCAAAAACAAATAAACAAAAAATTAAAGATAATTCTTTGAAGAGACAGATGCTCATAATGCTTGAATATAGCATATGAACATAGCTTCCCCATGTTCATACAACTAGCAGCAGAATCTAGGATTTAACCAACTAGATAAGGAGGTTTCATAGCTTTTGCATTTAAAAAACACTAATTTTTTTTTTTTTTTTTTTTTTTTGAGATAGGGTTTCTCTATGTAGCACTGGCTGTCCTGGAACTCACTTTGTAGACCAGGCTGGCCTTGAACTCACAGAGAGCCATCTGCTTCTCTGCCTCTGAAGTACTGGGATTAAAGGCATGCTATTGCTTTCCCAGTATCCACATGATAGCTAACAATTATGTGTAATTCTAATAATAAGGGGATCTGGTACTCTCCTCTGGCCTCTATGGGCACTGCACACACTATATATATATATATATATATATATATATATATATATATATATATATATATATACATACATGCAGGCAAAACACTAATACACAGTGTCAAAATTAAATCTAAACATAATTATAAATAGATACCTTTTAAAAGGTACCAATGCATGAATGAGCAACTAGATAATGGAAAAGAATGAAGTCTAGAAATCAGAAATGAAGAAAATTTAAGTGTAAAAAGATGTTTAAAATTTATGAGGAAAAGGAATACTATTCAATGATTGGTAATGACAACTGAGCAGCCATTTGGAAAATACAAAATTATACCTTACATAATTTAAAGATAGCTGAAGGTTTTGAATGGTACAATTTCACAGAGTTTCTGGAAAGTTTAGGGCTAAAGAGATGGCTTAGTGGCTGCTCTTCCAGAGGACCAAGGTTTGATTTACTACAGCAACCATATGGTTCATTTCCAGAGGAAACTAATACCCTCTTCTGGCATTTACAGGTACTGCATGTACACGGTACACAGCTATCCATATTAGCAGAACACCCACACACTTAAAAAGCTAAGCTTCTGAGTTTGAGAGGCACCTTGGGAAGTGGGGCCACATGAATTCTTTTCAGACACCAGAGGGTCTGTCTTCAAAGTTGGAGAGATGACTCACTGCCTGCTCTTCCTGAGGTCCTGAGTTCAATTCCCAGCAATCACATGGTAGCTCACTACCATCTGTAATGAGATCTGGTGCCCTCTTCTGGCCTGCAGGCATACATGCAGGCAGAACACTGTATACATAATAAATAAATACTTTAAAAAAAAGAGAAAGAAACCCTTCTACCTCACCTTCTAGACCTCAGCTCTTGGCATAGAAGGTGATTAATAGTATTGATGAAAATATGAAGTGGGGCATGTCTGTTGTCTTAGTCTGTTCCACTGCTGTGAAGAAACACCAAGACCAAAGCAACTCTTACAAAAGAAAGCATTTAACTTCGGCTTGGTCAGTTTCAGGTGGTTAGTTAGTCCATTATTATTATGGCAGGAAGCAGACAGGCAGGGCACTGGAGCAGTAGCTGAGAGCTTTACATCCTGATCCATAGGTAGCAGGCAGGGAGAAGAGAGAGGGAGAGAGAGACTGGGCCTGGCATGAGCTTTTGAAACCTTAAAGCCCATCCCAGTGATACACTTCCTCCAACAAGGCCACACCTCCTAATCATTTCCAAACATTTCAGCGGAGGACTAAGCATGCAAATATATGAACCCATGGAGGCCATTTTCATTCAGACCTCCACGTCTATCATGTAGTTAAGCTGCTCAGACTGTAGAAGTACCATAAAAGGTGAAAGCAGGGCTCAGGGGTATTGCTAAGTGGTGGAGTTCTTGGCTAGCATATTTGAGGCCTGCCCAGAACTGGAAAAAATTAAAATGATGCTGCAACAAATGGACATTCCTTGGTGCAAAGAAATACCTTGATCCAGTTAAAGTCACACACATGACAAAAGTTAACTCAGGAGGGCTGGTGAGATGGCTTAGCAGGCATCAGATGGAGAGGTGTTGGGAGAGTTCCCGCAGAGGTGCAGCCGGCACCCAGCTTTAATCTGCCTTCTTCTGTCTCCCGGCACCTTCTATGTGGATCTTGTCTGGGAATTTTCTTTTCTTTCTTTCTTTCTTTCTTTCTTTCTTTCTTTCTTTCTTTCTTTCTTTCTTTCTTTTTTTTTTTTAAAGATTTATTTATCATGTATACAATGTTCTGCCTGCGTGTACACCTGTAGGCCAGAAGAGGGCACCAGATGTCATTATGGATGGTTGTGAGCCACCACGTGGTTGCTGGGAATTGAACTCAGGACCTTAGAAAGAACAGCCAGTGCTCTTATCCTCTGAGCCATCTCAAAGCCTGTGCAAACTTGGTTGAGGACAACCCAGAGAACTGTGGTATTCCTTAACTGAGAATTTGCATTTGTCATTGTCTCTTTGGGGGGCTTAGATAAGAGGTTTTGGGATACAGAAGTTAACTTGCTAAAAGGTGTAAACTGGAGAACAATAAAAAAGCCCTTTGCTAAGCAGTCCAGAGAGGCTGGTCCCCCTGCAGCTGGAAAGGCTAATTTCATCCTTGAGGTGCCTTTGTGTCTTGATTCCACAGATCCTTGTGAACCCACACCCAATATAGAACAGAGAGTGATGGAGAAAGAGGCCCTCTTCTGGCTTATACACATGCACATACACTCAGACATACATTTAAAAAGAAACAGTAAGGGCCAGCAAGGATTATTAGGCAAAAATACCTGCCATTGCAAACACTACAACCTGAGCTCAATCCCTGGAACCCACAGTGGAAAGAGAGAACAGACTCCTGAAGGTTGACCTCTGACCTCCAACATGTGCCATGGCATGTGCTGGCCCAAAGTCACATACACATAAACAGAAGATTCCATTAGAAAATACAAAATATGTGAAAAGATACTTTAAAGGGAAGGATATGAGAATGCAGAGAATCAAGTTTGCTCATATTGCTGGTGAAAATAAAAAGGTAAGGCTACTCTAAAAAAAAAAAAAAAAAACAATTTGGATGGCTCAGAGCGTAGAAGTCCTTGATACCAAGTCTGATGACCCAGGTTTGTTTCTCGGGACCCCGTTGGTGGAAGGAGAGAACTTACTCCCTCAAGTTGTCCTCCTTCCACATCATGGCATGCATCCCACTATATTTTTTTTGCCTGTCCTGGATCTCGCTCTGTAGACCAGGCTGGCCTCAAACTCACAGAGATCCGCCTGGCTCTGCCTCCCAGTGCTGCCGCTGCTGCCGCCACCACCACCACCACCACTTGGCTTTATTTGTTTATTATGCATGCAGTGTTCTGTCTACATGTATGCTTGCAGGCCAGAAGAGGGCACCGGATCTCATTATTGATGGTTTTGAGCTACCATGTGGTTGCTGGGGATTGAACTCAGGACCTCTGGAAGCGCAGCCAGTGTTCTTAACCTCTGAGCCATCTCTCCAGACCGCATTGCACCTTTATAAAACGTTACAGGTGGGGAAACTGGGATAAAGGACAGCAGAAAGAAGCACTCTGTATTGTTTCTTACAGCTGAGTATGAATCATAAGTTATTTCAAAGACGTTTAATTTTTTAACTAATAAAATTGAAGGACTTCCCTTCACAACTCTGGCTTATAACCACTGGTTTTTCATTGTTCTTAAGTGTTAGTATTCTAATCTGCCCCTTGGCGCCTCCCTGCGTCCTGACATAAAAGCCCCATTTTAAGGAAAAAAACCCTCCCCTTTCTCTCTCTTTCAATTTTCTTCCCACGAGGTGTGCACCCTCCATCCCCCTCTCTTTCTGTACCCCTTTTCTCTCTCTTCTCTCCCTCTTTCCTATCTTTCTCAGCGTCTGGGTCCTGAATGACTGTCCCGTCGCCTGCAGCCGGGGCCCTGCGCATGCCACATGGCGAGGGTCACCCGCCAGCCCACGGCTGCATCTGCCCAACATGCCAGCATGGCTCCCTGCTCGCATGGGATATCCTGGCCCTGGGATATCAGCTGGGGATCCCCGACCCGTGCAAATTCATAACATTAAGAGTTGGCAACCTGGAACAGCGTTGGTGGTTCACGCCTTTAATCCCAGCACTCGGGAGGCAGAGGCAGGCGGATCTCTGAGTTCGAGGCCAGCCTGGGCTACCAAGTGAGTTCTAGGACAGCCAGGGTTTCACGGAGAAACCGGGTCTTGAAAAAACAAAAAGCAACAACCCAAACCAAACCAAAAAATCCACAACCAACCAACAAAAAAACCGATATGACACTGTGGACACTAAACTTCCGTCCATCTCCCATCGATCACCAAGTTCCCCTAGTGTTTCTGTGCTCCACGCACTGGCATTCTTTCAGACCCCCAACAGGCATTCTACAAATTACTAGCACATGCTGCTTCCATGCAGACTGTGTTCCTCTCTTCTAATTAATTCCTTCCTGTCTTTCGGATCTTGGCCGAAGTCTCGGGCTGAGTCTCTGTCGTCCCTCACGTAGAACTTTGAAAAAGGACAAGGACTTGAGCATTCAAGACTGGACCACTGCACTGCAGAACGACGCACTTCCGGGAGGCGAGTGAAGCAGGGAGTCGCGCGTTGTAAGCGTCACTTCCGCCCGGAACTCGCCTGAAGAAGTCCACAGAGTTGCTGTCAGCGTTCGCGGCCGCTGCACTACCGACATGGCCCTGCCACCCTTCTTCGCCCAGGGCCGCCCGGGTCCGCCGCCCCCGCAGCCACCGCCTTCCGCTCCGTTCGGCTGTCCGCCCCCGCCGCTGCCCTCCCCGGCTTTCCCGCCGCCTCTTCCCCAGCGGCCCGGCCCTTTCCCGGGGGCA